GTTGCAAAGTGTTATTAATTGTTAGATGTTTTTGACTAATGGGAGTTTATGTACAAACATTAGTGTCTTCAGATGTTTATGGAAAAAAAAATTTTTAACTATTGAGTTTTCTGTTGTTATCCCCGTAAATATCACTGTTTCAAAAAATGTTTCTTTATCTAGCCCCTACTTTGGACCACCTGCTGACCTATTCTCACTTGGTGTTACACTTCTCACAGCTGTCACTGGTCAACGTTGTTGGTCACGTGCCAGTTATACATCCGATCCTGTATATCGCCAGTGGACCGAACATAAAGATTTGCACACAGGTCCTGTGTTTTCCCGACTTCCTCCGGACTTAGCCAACTTTCTCACACGAGCCTTGGCTCATCGTCCTTCTGATCGTCTTACTATTGAATGCATTAAAAATCATCCTTGGTATCGCCTTGGTCTTGCCCGACGTCTAACTCCTGTCGCGTCACCGCGAAGCAGACAAGACTCAGGTGTATCTGTAAATACTGTCGTACCAAACAGCGACCATACCAACAATTCACGCAGCACTTATCAAGGAGATGCGCCAGGTTTGTGCATAATTTTTTTGGTCAGGTTTTCGCTAAATATGGATACTAATAATCCTTAAAGTAGCTAGAAAAATTTCTGTTTCAAAGCTGATTGGTGATGACTCCTCGATTGTAGTAGCCGGATAGTAGTATTAATAGCTTTCACACAACCAATGTGATTCAAAATTGCCGAGTATATAAACTTCACACTTGATAGATGAATTACTTGACATTCTGATGACATTATTCTCTTGCATGTAGTCCACATATCTTCATTGCTTTTATACATACTTTAGTCAGTTGTATTATTATTTTGATTTCGAAATTTGTAATTCTCTTGTTTTCGTAAGCCAATCATTTGTCCGTTTATCGACCTTGGGATTATCAGTAGTCATTATTACTGTTTTAGTGTTACTTGTGAGGTATGATGTTTATTATTAAAATAATTGGTTTATTTTGTTCTTTATTTCATTATTTACTGTTCAGTACCTTCATCTCAGCCTACGCCAGTTTGTCATGCTCAATTAGATTCTATTATAAATAATCTTCACTTATCTCAACCGGCTGATATTGACAGTATGCTAATGGTAAGTTTTTTCTTCAACTTGTGAATATGATGTGTTAATGTAGTAGTGTTATAAGCCATTGATTTTTTTACTATGAAGAAGACAGAATCGCACAACAGTTTTATTTAACATCCGTTTGCTGAATTTTTGTATTTGGCTCTCATTTCAGGCGTCTCAGATGGTTGGAGATATTGATTACGTTAAGGATCGACTTGGTTTTTCCTGTCTCATGCGCCGTATGACTCGATTCTTTTCAGCACTCTCCTCAGTAGAACATACAATGGAGGTCATTCGAGCTGTCGTTGTTCAAAGGAGACATTTGCGGGCAACAATCAAAGGATCAAATAACCTACTTGTACGTCTAGTCACTCAGTTAACATTCTGATTTTAAATAAAATAGGGATAAACCAACCATTGTTATTTTATATTAGAATATTTTCTGAATATTATAAATTTAATATTTCAAGAGTTATTATAAATGACATTAGTGCCTAAAGCATTCTGATTCCAACAACTGTGTGGTAGATCCAAACCATACATCACCTTCATATAAGAAAGTTAGGGGCGGCCAAACCAAAACGTGGCATCAGTGCCTGAAGTCACTAACTTGTAGTCTGAGCCATGTTGGTAGATGCATACTACTTGGTTGGGGTCCGCGTGACTTTCGTAACCAATGGTTGGAGACTCTTGGTGACATGGCTCAGAATCGATCACAATGGCGTCGGTGTATACACTCCCTGTCTTCCCTTAAACTAAGAGATTAAAATCACTTCATATCTTTCTTTCTACGAACTAATTCTTTCTTCCTATACTATATCCTTATTGCAATCCTCCTATATATTACCACCTCTGAATTAACTACTTTTATGAATCCGGTGTTCATCTTGCTGTGCTAATGAGGTATGGCAACCTGGACCGATGCACATATGTGCCTGGTCCTACGTTGTAGCTGACTGACTGACTGACTGACTCACCTTCATATCGAACTGAGTTCTCACATAGGCATTATATCTCAGCCGATTTTAAGAACCTGTATTTGGTTATTAAGTTACATCGATTTTTAAAATTTACAAGTAATGGTGTGCATTCCACTCTATAGTTACAGTGTAGTTTATATTATCGTGGAATCATCCATATAATTTTTTTCACCGAGTTAAAATACTACAGCCCGAGTATTTAAACTAAGTACATTATGTATATTTTTCGCATCTATTATCGCTGACATACTTGATGAATATAACTGTCATCTAGGAAAGCAAAGTTAGAGATTAATCTTTACCATTAGTATGTTGTATACTTTGTTTAGCATTAATTATTCAGAATCTGTATGACATAAATTTTGGCAATTTCTTATATGTGTATTTCTGATCTCACTAATAACAGACATTACTATCATTATAAATTGTTCTTCTTTGTAACCTTTCTTCTTTTAACCTTGTCTTCCAGTGTATTCTGTCATTTTTAATTTTAACCTACATTAATAGGAGTAAATTCCAAGCATTTAAAATCTAATTAACCGTTTATAACGCTAACTAGTATGGCTTTTGTCATATCCCACTTCCTACTAGTTGGTTCTATTGAATAGTTTGTAAAATAACCTCTTCTAACTGGTTGTATTTCATTTCATATATATCATGTGTTATTCATACATATAACTTTCACATTCAATCTACAGGTGGATATCAAAACTCCGGAACATCCAGGAACTGCTTTCCGAGTATTGTTATATCCATTAGCTGGTTCAATTCTTGTGGATTGTCGTCGTGTCTCAGGTGATGGTTTATTGTTTCATCAAACCTATGCTGCAATCTATACAGATCTTTCAGCTATGGGTGCAGTAAATATAACACATCCTTACTTACATATTTTGTTACCTGAAAGGCCTACAACAGAGCCTAATAATTCAAATTTAAATGACGGTACTTGCATTCCTGAAAATTCTCCAGTAGCCTACGGTGAATTAACTCCAGTAGCAATGGAGACATAGATTTCTTTCTATAATAACCTAGATTTCGATAGATCTTTTACTTATCCAGAGATTCTGTGTGAATATTTTTGCAATAATTTACTTTGAAACTTAATGATTTCTTTAAGTCGGTTTAGATTTTGTCCTCAAGTAACTTGTCCCCTCGCCTCGGAGTTTATTTTTATATTTGTATTAAAGATTGTTTAATGAATGAAGTGTTTCTGTATGTTCCTAAATACAACTTCTTCACAGAATGGCGTCATCATTTATTTGTGATTGATTGGGTTGGTAAAACAAATTGTACAACAGTTCATTGAACACAGTATATAATATACCATTTTTCTCTTTAGTTTCTCTGTTGTTTATATGGGGATAAACTACCTGTGCCCTCTAATTAAGGGAAATGTAAGATTTAAATGTTATTTAGAAGTGGTCTAATCAAAAAGTGGTAGATTGTGTTTGAAAAGTAATGTCTTCTGTTCACTGTAAGAAAGCTGCGTAATATTTGGTCGTAAATACTGATGAATTCATGCTATTCTGCTAGAATCTTTGTTCTTGCTCTTTTCAAAATGATAAAGGGAACTATGTGTATGAAAAATACTGATGTCGTTTCTTTAACTTCAAAACTATCTTTAAGAATATGTATCTCAGTAATCATATCTTATAAAGTCAACGTGGACTTCCGAAATGATTTCCTTACACTTCGTTGATCAAAAAGGTGGTGGTCGTATTTCTTGATTTCAGACCATGGGTTCTGATATCATACTACACATTAAAGATATTTTCAGTGTCTTTTCAGCAATTTAATTTTGAAATTCAATATACAGATGTATTACACAACAGAACATCGTTCTAACGCGTAGGACTATAAAAATAAGGAAACTGAAGGTATTTCTTATAAAATAAGCAAGTAGAAGATTTCAGCGTTACAGCTTGAATAGAAAGTTTATTCTGTAGATCCTCATAAACTGAACAAATTGACAGATTCGCATGTTTGACAAATCTATCCCATATAAGGAGCTGGTGAAAAAACGGTATCCAAATGACTAAACATTAACTTTATCTGTAGCTCTTCTAGAGCTACTGCCGGTCCCAAGCCCGCGTAAAGGAGGAGGGTTGGGCATGGGGTCTTGTGAAGATTCTAGCTAATATTACAAGGTGGTAACAATTATTGGTTTTGGAGGACAGTTTATGCAATTTCGAATCGTTTGCAATAACGTCGGTATGGATTTTCTCTTCTGCATGTGAGGGTTGTTATCTTGTAAACCACTTATGAAAATCTTCCATGATATGTGGATCTTACTGTTATTTCGTCTACTTACGAAATATCGTTGTGTCTTGTTATTTGGGTTCAGCACGGCCTTAGGCCGTATATCGTATATGATGCTACGGATTTAGAAAGGAAAACGGTAGGTTCTCTTCGGGACTGACGACGGTCAATTGTACTCAACACATCAAACCTCGACGGCTATGATAGGAAGAAGATGGGATTGAAGGTAACGTGATAGTTGTGGTAAACAAGCGACTAGAACGAAACTGTTACAAAGTTGTTACTATAGTAACAGAATATGTAGCACTTTAGCGAACTAAGAAATATGACAACCAATCAGAGGGTCATGCGGAAAAGCGAATTGATAGGTGTGTGAGCGGTTATCATTCCAGAAGAGATCTTAGCCCTTCTAATAAAATCAGCACTATCACACATTAAACCGATATCTAGTTTCCCAAAGTTCACCTTACGATAGCTATAAGAGATTGAAGATTTTCGACTACTAAATGACAGATATAAGTTGGGAATGGACTACTTTAACCAGATCTCTAAATAACACAAAAAAATGACTATTTTATTCATAAATTTTATTATTTTTGATTAGGAAGAAAGTAAATATTGTACATAAGTCAACGTTCTTTCTTTCCATCGATTCATTATTAAGTTTTGTTTAAATCTTTTACCAATAAAATTGTCTGTTTCAGTCGATTCAATTCATTTGAAACATTCAATTGTGAATTTGATTTGATTAATAAGTTCGAGATCAGATTATTCGACAAACGATTTGATAATTGATCAAGTAAATTGATAGTTAATTGTTTACTATATTGTATAGATTGATTAGTTTTTAATGAAGAGATAATATCATCATCACTATTTACAGTATCACAGTCATTATTGTTATTGTTATCATTATTACAAATCTGGTTAATGTTTTTATTTGAATTTAAAGAAATGACTGAGGATAAATACGAGACTAAATCACATAATGAATGGCAAAGAATGTAAAATTCAGTATTTCGATGATATAGTTTGTTGCTGGTATCATGAGAGAGATGATTGGAGGATTGAAAAGGATTTAATAATTGACTATATGGGATTTCCAATGACATACACCATAAATTGAATAGATCTGATGTTAATGTTAAGAGATCGAATGAACCACAAAGTTCTAAGGGAATAAATAAAAAAAAGGATATAAATGAATAATACTAGATACTGAGTTTATATTCTTTCAATCGTGAACTTTCTAACTAGTTCGGCTCTTAAAATTTTCAGTCAGTCACAATGTAGAACATGCACGTATGTACATCGGTTAAAGTTGCCACACAAAGACATGAAGTTATCAGGCCAAATCCCAGAATAACATATAGTAACAGTATCAGTGGTAATAAGAAAGATTAGGCATTGAAGATATACGACTCGAAAAGAAAATATAAATTAGCAAAATAAAAACAAAAAAGTTGAGGAATTTAAGATCTCAGAATGGATGAGCCTAGGCTATTGCAGACGATTTTGAGTCATATCATTCAAGATCCCTAACCAGGTAGGCTACACCTATTAACATGACAAAGTCTAATTGTCAGTGACTATGGAATGATGCTATGTTTTGGTGTGGTCGAACACGGCTTCCTCGAGGCCTACTTCTGCCCCAGAAAACAGCCCGTCGAGGTTGGCATTGGCTGGACACATGTAACACGTCCCAACCATCGATCAATCGATTCCCAATCATTACCTAGTACTCTATTCCTAATCCATGCACGAATAATGCTTTGTAGACACTTATGATCGAATACCAGTAACCTCTGAATATCCCCTATTCTTAATGACCATATTTCTCATCCATGAATTCGGAACGGACCAACTACTGTGCAGTAAACTCGTCCTTTGGTTGGAAAACGGCTACCTCGCCTACGCCACAAGTGATGCAAGTTGGCTAAAACCAATAGAGCCTTCTGAATCTGTGCCAAGATTTTGTCAGGCACCAGATCATCAGTACTCATGAGAATCCCAAGATAAGTAAAGTGGCCGATAAGTTCAACTACTTCACTCCCTATCACTAATTGAGACAATGACCCGAGCCAGTCCTGAAGTAACATTTTACATTTGGAGGGAGAGAACAACATCTGAAAAATGTTTGCATTGTTGTTTGAGGTGGTCAGAAGACTGCACTTTGTCATCGTCTTCATCAAAAAGAACTATATCATCTGCGTATTCTAGGTCAAAAAGTGAATCTCCTGGTAGAAGATCAATCCGTGAAAAGTCATGATGAAAGTGTTATCTCTTAAATGATGTCTCCAACTATTACCCCATAATATATGTGCCGGATGAGGTAACATGAAGCTTTTGGATTTCAAACAGACAGAAATATGATTCGAGAAGAAAATGAAAATATGAATCCATAAAATAAATATTAGAAGATATTTGTAAAACTCAGGATCTAAAGGAAGGAGAAGGCTAAATGTATTTGTGTCATTGGGACCGATTCTCAGCTATATCACTCAGTGTCTTTGCATTTTGTGAGAAAAGCTTACTCCCAACTTACTCCTGCGATTCAAAACAACGATTATTAATACTATTATGTGTGAGTTTATCTACTAGATAATCAACAACACAGAAATGGTAATATCAGTGTGACTTGATAATCCAGTACAAATCGGTGAATCAACTCCACTAACAAAACCAAAATAGTTTAACCTAATAGTGGAAAGCCAAGTGTGGTTTATTTGGATTAAACTTGCTTTTCTCTTGTCTTTGGAGATATTAAAGTTACTTCATCAATATTTCAAATAAAAAGCAATTGTAGTGTTCCTTAACTCGTAATAGAAGTTCGGGATTACTTACTTACTTACGCCTGTTACTCCTCGTGAAGGAGCATAGGCCACTCACCAGCATTCTCCATCCAACCCTGTCCTGGGCATTCCTTTCTAGCTCCGTCCAGTTGTAATTCATCCTTTTCATATCTGCTTCTATAATCCGACGCAATGTGTTCTTTGGCCTTCCTCTTTTTCGCTTCCCTTCAGGGTTCCAAGTTAGGGCTTGTCTGGTGATGCAGTTTGACGATTTGCGTAATGTATGTCCTATCCATTTCCATCGTCTTTTCCTAACTCCCTCTTCAGCTGGAAGTTTGTTTGTTCTCTCCCACAGAAGGTTATTGCTGATGGTATCCGGCCAGTGGATGTTGAGTATCTTTCGTAGGCAGCTATTTATAAATACTTGTACTTTCTTGATTGTGGTTGTTGTAGTTCTCCAAGAGAAGTTCGGGATGCAAAGTGTAAAAATTTGATTCATTTCAAAAGGTTCTAAACCATTAATATGGATAGTTAAACTGTTTTAATATAGTTAGCACAAGTTATAAATAGTTACTTCCAATAATAACAAAAAAGCATTTAACAAACTCACTACTCCAATCCAATAAGTAGAATAATCTTGAAGGCGTATTATCATTTGTCTCTTGACAGTCACTAATTAAGTTCGGTACAGGATAAACTAATACACCAGCTTTGAGTAATTTATACAATAGAAAGTATAATCGTCCCCAACATTTCCACTGTCTTGATTTGGCAATTTTCCTAAGAAACTTGATAAGGAAAAATAAATAAGCAAACCTCACTTTTATTTGGCAATAGATGTGCACTATAACGATAAGCAGTGAATATTCAGCCTTCTGTAAACGATACTTTACTGCCCATCGAAACTTGTTGAATAAAGAAATTACATGCATATAACCTGCTTAATGTTACCATCTTAGACACTGTGTTGTCATTAATGATCATATAGCGATGACAAATTTTAACATAACTCATCCATATGTTATTTGAACTGATCCATGATTTAGTGTTTCTGATACTTCGCCAATATTTCTTGTTTCAAATAGGACTTACGTCGATAACTGCAATTAAGTGACGTAAAGGCAATGCGCTTTCCGAGAGGTCTGAAGGTCCTATGTGCGCACTCATGTGGAGTTGCAAATTATGGTAAAACAGCTGTTGAGTTTTCCCTAGATTTCAACGATCTTTTAGCTGAAATCTATACATGTGCTAAACTGTAATTGACAAATATAGTTATAGTGATCCAGTAGTTTTGGTAAACAACGAATGATATGGCCTGAAGGTTGATGGATATCAGTGCTAATTTTCAATAAACATATAACAATTCAACGAAATCATAAGTGACATCAACACACAAAATTTAGACCGATGTGGGTTTGAGGATCGAATGTTAAAGAAATTTGCTACCTGTGGGATAATCAAAACCGAACATGAAGGGAAAACCCGTTACAACAACCATCATCTTCAGATTAAAACATAAGCTGCAATTAGAATGAGGCACCACTTAGTCTTCCGAAACGTCATTTTGATGTTCCTGATGTTATTAACGATATTGAGTGGGTCAAAATCTGTAAAGTACATTCCCCAGTAAAAATCATATATTAGTTTTGACCAAGTTATACCTTTTCCCCATTCAACAGTGAATTTTTGTAGAAGTTCCATTGGATTATGTGTATCATCAATTCACCCAAAAGTTCATCGGACTTTACAGGTATTTTATTAAATTAAACTACTGGGGTTAAATTAATTCAAGCACAATTCTGATGAATTCGAAGCTTTTTAATGAATTGAAATAACAATGCAGCGCTAACGTGAAAAACAATAATCTGAATAGTTTTTATAACCGTCCATTTTACCTTGTAGTAAGTATTGTGAAATTTAGAATTCAGTACATTCTATTTAATTGTTTTTCTCTCTATGGTGGTATTTCAAGGCAACACAGTCATTAAAATAAAACATTTTATCCAATCAGTCACATAAATTATCAAACACATACAAGATGCTTAAGCAATATCATGGATTGGTTGGGGTTAGACATTAACACTGTTAGATACCGGTTGAGGGGTCAAGAGATTAAGGGTTAGCGCACCAGACCGAAGGTCCCAGGTTTGAGTCTCACGAGCGCGATCGTAGATGCGCGCTGCTGAGAAATCCTATACTAAGACGGAACGGGCGTCTAGTGCTTCCAGGTTTTCAATGGTAGCATAACATTGATTGATTCAGGATTTTGATGAAATACACTATATGTATGCACGAGAGAATGTAAGTCATACCATAAAGCTGAACAAGAACTAAGATTTAGGCCGATAATATCAAGCTTGATAATAGACCAGAATCTATATACTTCTCATTGGCTATATCTTCAATTAAACACGAATAGTAATTGTCGAACTATTTTTCACAAACAATGACTGTATCATTAGCCTAAGGGTTAAAAACACTTATCATCATATTTATTAATGAAAATCCGATGATTTCAATTCGTAGCTGATTTAATAATTGCTAAAAAAATTCCATTATCATGTACCAACAATATCCCTCATTAATCATTCAAATTCATTGTGACTAGAATAGACATTTTGCTCATAAGTATATCATTTCAACTAACAGTGAAATATACAAAGGTCAACCAAACAGTACAGGTCAGTAGTGGTGGGTATATATGAATGAATAAATAAATAAATAAAATCAGCTCTTCTATTGTTTCTGACCCAGCTTGGATGGATGACCTGTGGTGTTAGGTTATTTTCCCATTCAAGAGGCTTTTTTCATGTTCTATAATATATTGGAAAAATAAATAACTTTGTCTTTCGGCATATGTGCATCCTGTGCGGATTGCCCTTGATATTGACATTAAGTAACAAACACTTTAAGCAGAGATGGATGGTGGCTGGCCGTAAATTCTGGGATGCACATTCCAGTCCTAAACATCAATAGGAAGATACAAAAACTAATAGATATAAATTAAAATTCATCCCCACTGAACAAGCCAGTGAGTCTGGGCTCAGCAACTAAGTGTATAACGCGATGGCGTTTGAAGTGAACGGTACTTGGTTGGAGTTCTGGAGTGCACATCAACCCCGCGATGTAGTTACATCCAGCTAACGAGTCCCGAAAAGGACGAAGCGCACGTCCTAGGTTACATTGTTAGCCACTATCCATCTCACCTTAATAACTTCCATTGAATCTTGATTCATTTAAAATGAAATGTATCAAACTATAGAATCATAATAACCATATCCAAATGATATTTTGAGTTTTTTCTAAAAATAATCATCAATAGCCGAAAGACCAAAAAAATACTGAGAATCTGTTTCATTCTGGTGTGCTGAAACGCGTTTATAGTATGCATTCGTCACAATCATATGGAGGATCGAAGCTTTAAGACTTTTTAGTAAGCAAGATATATTTGAACTAATCAGTTTAATGATCTAAAGGTTTGTATGCGACTTCAATTAACTTTCGCCGCAAAGTATGATATTTAATTTAATAGCGAACTACTGCTTCATTCAGTGGTTTAATTCACAGGTCACAACCTTCCCGTAGTGCTTACGGAAATTTAAGTTAGTATTCAATATTTAACTAAAGGGTGATAAATCTGCTAATTGAACGATCGATCTGATTTCTTAGGCGCTTCGAATAACGGCAGAGTGTATATGTATGGCAACTTGAACAGAAGACAAAAATTGCGAAGTTCAACAAAGAGCTGTACTCTAAGGTTAATTGTGTATATTTAACATGACTTTGTCCATCTAGAAAGTTCTAAAAGCATACTAAACATAAAAGCACAGAAGTAATTATCCAGTTAAAAAATTAACACGCGATCTGTCGTCCCTATAGATGTTTTTTAGAAACCCCTATTTAATCCCTATTGGATAACATGTTTGCAAGGATTTTCTGAGCTCCTATTGATTTTTTTCGAAGTGTTTTGCAATTCCCCAACAAAGGAGATTGCTGAATTTCAAAGTTTACATCAGGAAATGATCTTAGCTAGACCGACAATAAAAACCATAGAGCACTGGACAGATGTTTCGTCCTAGAACGAGACCCATCAGGACGAGGTAGCTGGCCAAGAGAAGCTATGGTTCAATGGTTTGACTAACTCGATATTTAACAGACTGTATCAGAAGTTTGAACAGAACACGTCGACTAATTCGCTTTCATCAGTCAAAAGTAGATGGTGCCTTGAATCTACTGTTCACGGTTCAGACTATTGGTTGTCTACAATCACTACTTTTCTTTGCAAATAATTTGAAATGACGGATCCAATTCATTAAGAGCTATTTTATAAAGTCTAGTTAGTTATTAAGCAAAAGGAATAAAGGTACTCGTTAACTAACCAATAAATATAGTTATAAACTAACCAATTGAATAGCAATTAACAAATGACCAGAACTAATTTTTGATATGTGATCCCGTAACTGACCATTAAATTTCAATGACTGATTTACGACTGATTTTAATACTTCACTGCATAATGTATTAGAAACAGTGGCTAGCTCAAAAATGAAATATAGTAAACGTGGTGATATCACCATTTGACTTTTTATATAATTTTCTCTAACCACTGTATTTGAAGATAACAGTGAATTGAAACCTTCTGTTTGTTCTGTTAATGATGGAACAACGGGAATAGCTTTGAATTGTATGCGAGTACTGCAAAAACAACAATAACAACAAGAGAAAAATAAAGAATAATCTAATAAACTGTTAAACAGTAACTTTCTAGAAAGAAATACTATTAAAAACTCATAGGCAATATAGAACCTGGAATATATATATTCATCGGTTCAAGTTGTCATACCTCATTAAATCAGTGACATACCAGAGTATTAGAAGTGGCAATAGTATCACGAGTAATAGTAGTAGTATTAGAAAAGATCAGACAGATAAAATATGATTCGAGAAGAAAATGAAAATATGAATCCATAAAATAAATATTAGAAGATATTTGTAAAACTCAAGATCTAAAGGAAGGAGAAGGCTAAATGTATTTGTGTCATTGGGACCGATTCTCAGCTATATCACTCAGTGTCTTTGCATTTTGTGAGAAAAGCTTACTCCCAACTTACTCCTGCGATTCAAAACAACAATTATTAATACTATTATGTGTGAGTTTATCTACTAGATAATCAACAACACAGAAATGGTAATATCAGTGTGACTTGATAATCCAGTACAAATCGGTGAATCAACTCCGCTAACAAAACCGAAATAGTTCAACCTAATATTGAAAAGCCAAGTGTGGTTTAATCAGGTCACCGTTTGACAAAAACTCTTTTATTAACCAACCATGGACTGCCGTGAGAATTGGCTATTTTTAAGTGGTATTCACCAAATATTCTCTCCTCCTTTTATATCACTGAATCATAGATATGCTTCTAACATTATTACTTTCATTGTCCAAGTTTCAGGATTGATATTGTATTGTCATATGAGTAGATTTGAGAGAAAGTCATATAATGTCAAAAAGGACATGAAATCAATTCATTTAGTCATTGATTATTAGTATGGACCTTTTTGGTAAATCAAAATTAACTGGTTGGTGTCCTTAGCATACACTCCATAGTTGAAGACTTTCGGTGGTATATATTTTGCAATAACATACTTTCCTAGAACTCTGTAATATATATAAAATCCTAAGAGGTAACACTAACACTAGTCTTCATGTATATCCAGCTGGTAATTTATTTATTTATTTGAACACATTGTAGTGGCTGTGCTTCGTTAACCAACCAATCACCCTCGTAGCCGTGTTTGAAATCAGAAGGCAAAGAGAAGCAGCGACTACAGTTTTATTAGCAGATAACTCAGACCACAAAGCAGAGAGGCGAATGAATGAGTCATGAATCATCGAATCAATTGAGCAGTTAATAATAAAGCTGGCATAATGAATATATGCGTAGGCGGTAAGCAATGTTCAAGCATACATATTTCATACAAGCACAACAATAATAAAGGTACAATAAAGTTGTTATAGTACGGATGACTTTGTCCGGTAAATACGTTAACAAAAGGGCTTAACTGAGTTAAATGAGAACAAACTCAATTGCACGTGAGTTGCTATAACATAAGCATTGGTATGAAGGGGCACCAAATACATATCCCCCCATAATAATAATAAGGCCAGTAGTAGTTATCATTTATTTATGTGACGTTGTGATACTGCCCAGGTGTGGGGGTCCATACTCGGAGCCTTTGACCTAAGGGTCTAGCCAACAAGGAAATGGAGTTACGTTAGTAGATTCAATCCCTTGGTAGCCGGCGACCAACAATAAGTTCATACTCTATTTGTTCCCTCAGGATTCTGGAGACCATGTGCACCATTGGTTTAGACCCTCCGTGTCCACCAACCTGATTAAAGCACCGGACATTCGCTTTTTGTTCTCTCAGTTCCGTAAACGACATCCCTGGAAGTGGCTGTATACGCATGGCCATATGAGAGCATTACATGAGGAAGAGTGAACTCTCCCCAGCTCAGCTGTACCAAAGTATTTGGATGCCTTAAATAGGATGAAACATCTCTCTTGAATTTCAGTCAATCCCTATCCAAACCTATTAATTAACTTGTATATTTAAGCAACATTGAGACATCCTTTAATTAAAGACAAAAAAGGTTATATTACCAAAACAAATTACAGATTGGTCAAATTAGTTTGTTTTACATCAACCACAAAAAAGTATTACAATTATCAGTTTAGGGGCTGTGGAGATTGTTAAGTTTTTGATTGCGATCATGAACCGATTGGTATTAGACCACCATTGAAAACCTGGAAGCACCCCTAAACTGATAATTACCATGTGCTCACTAGTGACTAGCTTCATGAGAAAATTCTCGGAGTTCTGGTGAGAAGCCATGACCAGTGGAGCTAATCCGTGTCGGGTAGAAACAGATGTCTACTTTAGTACAATGGAAGGTGGTCGCGCGACGTCGTGGATTGGTTGAGCTTAGAAATTAACACCATTGAATGCCAGCTCAGTGGTCCAGTGGGTTAGGCGTTCGCGGGCGCACTGACGAGGAGTCCCACGATGGACGAAACGACTGTCCAATGATTCCAGGTTTTTAATGCTGGTCCAACATCAATCGGTTCATGACCTCAATCAAAAAGTATTACAATTCATAGATTTTCTTTAAAATTACTTACTTTTCATAAAATAAATTAATATCCATTAAATATTTCAATGAATTCATTTGCATTTCATTTATTTCAATGGATAAATCTAAAATTTTATCTTTCAATTGTTGAATCTCTTTCAAATATTCATTAATATTATCATTATTATCCTCTTTATTAATATTATCTAATTGATTAATAACTTCATTTGGAGATCCTCTAGAGTTACTGTCAGTCTCAAGTCCAGATAAAAGATGAGGAGAGTTAGGCATGAGATTAGTTTTTAATGATTCAATTGATGACCTAAATATAATATTAAACAAATATAAACATCTTTGTTTATACCAATTATATATATTCATTGAATTTTGAATCGTTTGTTTTAATTTATAAATTAATAAAAGATTATTTTTAATTTGTTTTAATTGTTCTAATTGTTTTAATTGTTTATTATCTTGATAAAAACAACAATAATGAATTAATTCAAATACTATAATGTCAATTTCATTTGAAATAAGATAGTGACAAATTGTATTATTATTATTATTATTAATGTTCACTTGATTTAAAAATAGAATATTGAACAATTGAATAATTTGTTCCATGAATTCATTTAAATTAATTTTATTTAAAAGTTGAATAATAGATGTATCTTTTGTAAGTAAAAATAATATATGAATAAATAATCGAATATGTATATGTTGAATAGAAGTATGCTGTTTATCAATTATATTAGTAGTAGTAGTATTGATAGTAGTATGAGTTGTAGACGTTAAATGATCAATATGAGAAGATGATTTATTCATGATATTGTTTTCTACAAGTGTTAAGAAATACTTCATAATGTTGTTTATTTGGATGAAACAATTTGGCTGTAAAAGAAAATGTAATAATAATAATAATAATGAAGGCATAAACTGATTAAAAGATAATATCTACTGTAAACTAGTAGAATATTTCATCTTGTTAAAGTAGAAGTGAATACTGATGTCATGTTTCTTGAATAATAGTAAACCCTAATTGAGTGATGTCAAGAGGATATTTGTTCAGGACTAGGTTTTGTCCCAATTGTCATATCTGAACGAAGAATAAATCGACGGTAACTGCTGGGAACTATTTATGGACTGTTATTATATATATATATATATATATATATATATATATATATATATATATATATATATATATATATATATATATATCCTTATTGTATAACTGTTAAGTAACTAGATTATATATATATGTTTTAGAACTATCGCTAGCATCCGCTGGGATCACCGGACAAATAATAGTGAGGTTAAATGAAGGGTATTAGGGAATGATGGTAAATCAGTTGATGAGGTTGTAAATCTTCATCGACTGAGATGGTTGGGGCAGGAGTTACATATGCCTGAACACCGATTACCACGATGCGCAATACTGTCTAGTGTTGGAGACGGTTGTAAGAAAATTAAGGGTGGCCAAACCAAAACGTAGCATCAGTGCTTGAAGTCACTAACTTTTACTCTGAGCTATGTTGGTAGATGCAGACTACTTGGTTGGGGTCCGCGTGACTATCGTAACCAATGGTTGGAGACTCTTGGTGACATGGCTCGGGATCGATCACAATGGCTTAGGTGTATGCACTATCTGTCTTCCCTTAAACTATGAGATTAAAATTGCTTTATACCTTTCTTTCTACGAACTAATTCTCTCTCTTTGTATAATATCCTTATACACAATATTTCTTTTAAACATTACTATCACTGAAGTGACTACTTTAATGAATTTCGTGTTCATCTTCTTATGCTAATGAAGTGTGGCAATTTGGACCGATGCATATATGTGCCTGATCCTACGTTGTAGCTGATATATATATATATATATATATATATATATATATATATATATATATATATATCGTAAGCTTTTATTTGATTTATCGACTATTATTGTACGATTTATCATTCTTAAGACATTTCCAATTTATTATTTAGAGTCTCTTACTATCACAGACACTTTTTGGCTTGATCTTGTACAATTGTTGTTTCCTATTTTGAGGTGTGATGAGGTTTGGTTTGCTTGTATATAAACCAAGTATGTCCGAAAAATATGATCTGTGTAGTGGAAGCAGATATTACTATTCTGGACTCAACAGGCAGGGCGAGACGAGAAGGACCAATAACGGCTCTACCGATCAACACGTCATTGGTTTGGAACAGTGTTAGGATTGTATAAGTCGTGTTCTGATCGGTGATCGTATCACGTGATAATAAACAAACCAAAAGTCATAGCATCAATGAGTACAATCTTAATAGTTTAGCCATTAAATATAACACTCATTTACTTTACAACAATCACACGGTATTTCTACATCACCTATAATAAATGCATCCCAAAGAAGACTATTGTAACATACAACTAGTCGAATACCAAGTTGATAAAGAAAAACATGTAGAACCCAGTTATCTATTCATTTGAAGGTACTCGTTTAAAGGATTTAGCTAATAAATATGACTTGAAGCTACTCAAACATACAATATAATTACATTAGGCGAATCATCAAATAGAGTATGGAAATATAAATAGAAAAGACTGCACTGAAAATACTTTAAATATCAGAATATTGATAGATACAAATGATTCGGCTAATGTAGACCGTAAGTGAAGCATTCAGTAAAGAATCGATGGTGATGAAGGTGAACTCTGTTTGTAGATAAGATAATTTTGAGTATCATTAGAGGTAAGAAAGCAATTGTCACTCTCTGACTGCCTATACAGTAAAGGGATACTTCTTCATAACGTACCTAAAAAGTAGACTGAGTTAGGTAGCGGCGATATTGAGAACTAAGGACCATGACTGTAGAGTCAAAAGGACAACTTCTTGAGACCGGTCACACGATGCATTTTTATTAGTAGTCTCAGGTGTATTGGCTCCGCACTTCAAAAAGCTTTGGCGCCGGTAACGGAATTCCGTGGGTAAGGTGAGGTGTGACATTTAAAGGTCAATTTTTTACAAATCCCTCCTCTTCTGTTTTGAGGAGGTAGCACTGATGTAGACGCTAGTTATCTGAGGAAAAAAGCCTTACAGCCATCCCACTACTGTATACTCGACAGTACAACTTTGTCCTCGGACCGCTTTTAATAGTGCCACTCTTCAACCAACCATCCGGGTATGATGTAACCTAAGGAGATGAATCGTCCGACTGGTATAGCTCTTGGTTAGGTCACCCCGATACGTAAGACCGGCCAACACGTCAATTTAGCAGCCAAAATCGAGAAATAAAGGAAAAATGAATAAAATGTACCTACTATAACACTGGTTTAACATACCTTTTTAAATAAATAAACGATAGTATTCAATAGAGGGTTTTCTGATAATTTAGAACTTGACCATACTTCTTCAGACATATTAAATTGGTATAGTTTATTATTGTTTAATAAGTCGCTTCTATTCTTTTCCTCTTCATATTGGAAATTTACATTGAATAAATTTCCATTATTTAATTCATTATAAAGATCTTCATGGCCAAATAATGAAATGTCTAAATATGATTTACGATTTGACCAATCGATTAAAATTAATTCTTGAAAAATTGTACTATGCACAATTTGTTGTTCAGATAAAGTCGTCGTAAATTTATCATTGTTCGTTTCAGGTAGAAATTTTGTTCCAGTAGAAAAATTAATCGGAATTTGAAATACATACAATAATTGATCAAGAAGCTGTAATGAAATGAACAAAATACATTACAATAGGTTACGGGTTTAATGAATTATGATTACATGATTCTGGACATGATACAACGTACAGCGTTTTGTTCTATTGAATCAGAATTTAAAAGGCTTAGAAATATTTTACATAGGTGGTGTTATTTCTGTTTGTGAACCTTTTAACTTAGTTTCCATTCTATTTAGTTCCTTTCTGTGTACTACGTTACTTACTATTATTAAGTAGTTTATGTCATTATCAAATATTCTTGTTATGCTTGATATTTTATAGGCGTGTGAATGAATCTGCAATATTTAATTCATTTGTTATGATAATTATGTTCTGTTAACACTCGTACTAGCATTTCCTTTCTTCTTCAGGTGTCTTCATTGAATATATACGTTTACTAGTGACAATATCCATAAACTGTATGCGTCGATTTCGTTTTGATTTATGCACTGGCATTATTGGAGTGACATAGTTATTGGTTGTTACTTAGTTTATCTTAAGTTTTAAGTTACAAGATCATAGTTAAAACGCCACTAAGAACCTAGAAGCCTTGGACACCCATTTGGTCCTAGTATAGGACTCCTCGACAAAGCACACCCACGACATTCGGTTTCGGGCGCGCACATCTAACGTCTAGACTAATCAGCCAGCATTCAATGGTTTACCGTGTGTTTTTGTAAATAGCTACTGACTGTACCATGACACGTGTAAATGCCATACAATTTGAGTGTTGTAAAATATATCGGTTATATTTTCATTAATTATACCATTTTATAAAAAACGTTTCGTTTTGATTTTTGATTAAGGAAATATCAGACAGATATTTTATCCTGAGACCTAATACTATTCCGCAATTTTGTAAAACTTTGAATCTAAAATTTACCGGTTATGAAGTACATTATATTTTCAAATTCCATCAAATTCACTACAACAGTTATCGTCCATTATCGTTTGAACTGTAAATGTTTCATTTTTGTACTAAAATCCCGATGTAAACATGTCCTACTATAGAAGAATGATTTATTTACTCATAGATATATTAATATTAGGTTAAAACTATTATTTTTAAAAGTATATTCGGATAGTATCAACAGTTATTATCTCGACTTTTAGCTGTTTACCTTAAGTATTGAAAATCTTATCCACTTATCTTGTTACATTTAGTACATCCAAAACTTGGAGTATAATAGCCAGTAGGCTAGGCTCCTGCCGACCTATAACAACTGTATATAACAAGATCGAGAACTTACTTTTTAAGTATTTTTAAGGAACGAGAATGCTAGTTAGTTTTATCATTGCCAAACGCCTTTAATTTATGAAAGTTTCCAAGAAAACTATGCGGAACTTAATAACAACTTGTATTACGTCAATAAGTCAAAAAAATTAAAAAAAAGAATCAATTTTTAGAGTGAACGACAAGAGCTGAGCGATATTTAGCTAATGAAATGAACTGTAGTAAAAACTTAATTTATATTTGTTGAAGATGGAATATAAATAACCGACTGTTTTTCTTAAAACCTTAAACGTCTGACAAGCAAAAACCAAAATGCTAACGATATACATTACTTATGAATAGAAAGGCGGTCTGAATGAATATCTGGGCTACCTGTTCCTGCCATCTAAATATTTCAACAAGTTTTGCTTATTTTAACACATCATTATGTCTACTAATCGCATAACCTATTCAGTAGCGTTTATTTAAAGTTTACAACCTTTCGCTATACAAGCTACAAAAAAGGTACAATCACAGACATCGTGCAGGCTGGCATTATGCATTGAAAAGAATAAACATTATTCACATCACGATTCCTGAACTGCTAATATCTAACTGCAGATCAGTCAATATTTATCGTCAGGAACGATCAAGAAATAAAAAAGGAAACTTTTTGAGATACTTTGTGATGAGAATCCTATATTGTACCAAATATATAATATTGAATAAAACCACTAATAATAATAATAATAATAATAATAATAATAATAATAATAATAATAATAATAGTTAAACGACAAAAATACTAACTTGATGAACTGCAATTAGTGAATGGGGACATTTACGATTGACTGGTAGACGAATTAATTCGACTAAAAATCTCACTGGATTAGTGAATAACAACAATTCACAATCTAGAAGAAACTGGACAGAATTAAGATAAATGAAACTATTAGACAAGATGAATATATATATATATATATATATATATATATATATATATATATATATATATATATATATATATATATATATATTAATTGAATCCTTTAGTTGCTATTTATCCTTTCGATGTCTGCTTCCAGTTCTCAACATATTGTGTTTTTTGGTTCCCTTCTTCGTTTCCCTTCACGATTACAAGTTAATGATTGTCTCGTGAAGCAGTTTGTTGATTTCCATAATGTATGCCTTATCCAACTCCAACGTATTTTCTTAAATTCCTCTTCACTCGGAATCTGGTTTGTTCTCTCCCACAGTAGGTTGTCGCTGATAGTACCTGGTCAACGACATTCAGTATCTTGCGTAGACAAACGTTTGTAAATACTTGTACATTTTTTATGATGGCTGTAGTAGTTCTTCAAGTTTCAGCTCCATACAGTAGAACTGTCTTGACACTAGTATTGAAGATTCTCACTTTGATATTGGTTGATAATTGTTTTGAGTTGCATATGTTGTTTAGCTGTAGGAATGCTGTCCGTGCTTTACCGATTTCTCGCCTTTACGTCCGCATCAGACCCTCCACGTTCATCAATGAAGCTCTTCAGGTACGAACAACTTTCCACCTCTTCCAGAGTTTCTCCGCCAAGTGTGATTGGTTTGTTTGATGTTCTCCGTGTTGTATTTGAGAATGTTGATTTTTCCCTGTTCGCGAGATGATAGTTACCGATGGTTAGAGACTTTGAATGACATGCCTCAAAATCGTTTGCAATGGCTCAGGTGCATCCACTCTTTGTGTTCTCCCAAATTCTAATCTCCGGAATCCTCCTTGTCTCTTTTTTTCTCTTTCCAAATTTATTTCACTGGATTATACTCTTTAAATAACATCGTCAAACCCTAATGTTTCCAATTACTCTCACCGCCTCTACCACTACGGGATTTGAATCGACAACTGCATCTCTGTGCTAATGGGTGTGGCAACTCGAACTGATGCACGTACGTACGAAGTTCTACGTTGTTACTGACTTGCCCTTGTGTATATATTGAGGCCCACTGTTTCTGAGGCCTTATGTGGTAGATGTTGGAACCACATTTGTTTTAGGAGGGGCTCATCTAGTTTATATGGCCCTGCTAGTTGCTTCGCATGCCTTAACAGCTGCGACGGTCTTTTGTCTCCTAATTCGCATGACGTTAACAATTGCTGTAATCTTTTTTCATCGGGGACTGATGTGGGTTATATAACCACGGCTTTTATTGTGTCATAAGGTTCACTCCTAAAACAAATGTGGTTCCAACGTCTACCACATAATGTCAGACAAATTCTTTGCTTATCCGGAAACTCAGTTACTTTAGACGAGTTAGCAGATATGATATCCAACGCCACTATGCTACAACACCTAAATACTGACCCCACGACTCACCTTATTCTATGCACTGACGCATCTCAAAAAGCCGTAGGGGCAGTACTACAATTACGAGTCAACAACATCATTACACTCATAGCATTCTTTTCCAAACGACTGTCACCGGCACAGAAACGTTACAGCACTTTCGGACGGGTTACTAGCTATTTATTTAGCTGTAAAGCATTTCAACTTCCGGTTACAAGGAAGCGACTTTACTATAATGACCGATCATAAACCCCTATGATACTCTCTTAACACGTCGTATGACAGGCACCCGAATGCCCTGGTATGGCCGAGAGTGGATTGGGCCCGCCCTCCCTCCCGGAATACTCTCACACGGCCACGAGTATACAGCCTCTCCCAAGGAAGTCCTACTCACTGCCTTCTCGTGGTGGGGGTGTTGTTTACGAAATTGAGAGGACGAAAAGCGAATGTCCGGCGCTTTAACCGGATTCCAAACCAATGGTGCACATGGGCTCCAGTATCCTGAGGGAACAAATGACGTATGAACCAATTGTTGGTCACCGGCTTCCATGGGACTGCCTTGTGGATCAGACCTTCAGGTCGAAGGCTCCGGGTGTGGCCCCCTAAGATAACCACCTCCTTCGGTTTGGGCACCCGGGAAGTATCACAGCCCTCACACATATCGAATGAGATTTGTGTGGCGCATATGTTTTTGGTGCCTCCTTGTACCAATGTTTATGTGTTTAAATAAAATAAAAATAAAAAATGTCGTATGACAGACATTCCCCACGCGATGCCAGACAACTGGATTATATTTCACAATTCACCACAGACATCCAGTTTATCAAAGGAAATTCCAACATAGTCGCAGATGCCTTATCTAGAAAGGACATCAAAACACTGGTACAGAAACAGGACATTAGTCTTGAAACGATAGTTAAATTACAAGTAAACAATGGAGACCTGAAAACCTGCAAAGAAAAGTCTAACTTGATCCTCAATCCCGTACCTATTCCTTTCTCAGACTCATTTATCATTTGTGACGTTTCAACTGGCAATAACCTCCCCTTCGTACCAAAAGCTTGTCGACGATAGATATTTCAACAGTTACACGAACTTTCACATCCGGGAATCCGAGCCACTATAAAACTCATCACAGAACATTTCGTTTGGCCTAAAATCAACTCGGAGGTAAAATGGTGGACACGAAGCTACACACTATGTCAACGCAGCGAAATTCCATTACTTGATAAACGCTTTCAACATATTTACTTAGACATAGTTGATCCCCTGATATCATCAAACTCTTTCACGCATATTCTTACAGCGGTGGACAGGTTCACAAGATGGGCGATAGCATACCCTATCACACGTCCACAGAGACAGTCGCAACTGTATTCCTTGATCGACGGATATCAAACTACGGAGTACCTTCAATCTTTACTACAGACCGTGGTCCCCAGTTTCAATCCATCCTATCCCAGGAATTTACCAAACTTCTGGAAGTGAGCCACACAAAACAACAGCTTATCATCCAGTAGCTGATGGTCTGGTCGAAAGATTTCACCGCCAATTAAAAAGCTCTCTGATGGCATATGCTGATACATCGAAGTGGAGTGACGCACTACCGCTTGTACTCCTTGGAATTCGTTCAACTATCAAGGAAAATATAGGTTGCACACCAGCTGAACTAGTTTATGGTACAACTCTAACACTACCAGGTCAACTAGTAGACCAAGACACAACAATATCAACTGATCCAAATCGTTTTGTGAGTCGTCTACTGCAAACGATGCAAAACATCAAAGCAACACCGCCGCGCGAAAATAATAATCGCGTACAACTTGACAGACGCCTGGGAACGTGTAAGTTTGTCTTTGCTCGAGTCGACACTGTTCGAAAGCCATTGAAACAACCTTACGAAGGACCGTACCAAGTAATGTGCAAATAATATCAAAAACTATTTACAAAATAAGTTTGTCATGCCTATCTCCACAGTCTCCTCAACTACTTTCTCCATAGTGTCGAAGACGGTTCCATAAGGTTTTCCTTCCTATACCGTCAAATGATTTCTCATAATCAAGGAAGTTGTTGTGTGGTGACGAGTTCCATTCAATTAGTTGTTGAACGACGTTCTGTAGTGTCGCGATTTGGTCTGTACGCGACAGATGTTTACGGGAGCTGGACTGTTTGTCTCCGGTTCAGTAATACTGTTGAAAACTTTTTCTGGTACCGATAGTTGTGTGATATCTCCGCATTTTTCACATTTACTCAGATCTCATGTTTTGGTATCTTGATGAGATATCCTTCTTTCCATATAGCACCTACTTATTAGTATCAAATTATTATGTTCAGTCCAACAATCACATTATTTGTAGACAGTTATCTGATTATCATTTACCCTTGTTTATAATATACTTCTTCACATATGATTAGTACTTTCTAGATATCTGATTTCCTTCTTGCCTTCGCAATAAATGCCTAATTATAATACTCATTGGTAGTAGACTTCTCTATCGCGATTCTTCCCGGTAATCATCAATGGATCATGTAAGTGGGATGCTCAATGATCAATATAAACATACTGAAGTGACCAATTCGCTTTTGTCAAGAAGTTATTCATCCCCTTTGAAGGTACTTTCCGAATCTATTTCATGCATTAACAAGAGTCTGACTAGAAAGTTTTGGTGACGGCGGTCAATTTTAGGCACATCAAGAGATTAGTGTAAGTCCCCTCTTCCCCATGAATAGTACCCTCATCCAAAATCACACAGTATTCAAGTAATTACTATCAAACACTGTATTATAAACCAAACTATCCGTTTAGTAAATTTTAAAAAATAAAACATTTTTAAGACAGACTGAATTTGGATCGAAGTGGAATTCAGGCGGTGTGTTTAATCTTACTTGAGATTCATCATCAGCTGAATCTGCTTGAATCTCCGTGTTGACGTCCACATTAGAACTTGAATTACCTACCTTTTAGCTTTCAGCATCAACATATGTTATCCACTACTAAATATAGTTCATCTGTTCTAAAAAAATGATATGACATGTTTCATTTGATTTTTCTCACGCTGACGTATACTTCCATAATACGTTAGTACGATAAAGAGACTCATCAAGCTATACCAGTCTTAGGATTCACAACCCAGAATGGAGAACAAGCGTATAGACTAGACAATACTTTATGCTACACAGTTACAAGCAGTCAATCTCATTGAGTCCAGAGTAGATAGAAATCAAAGGGAGGAAAGGAAACCACATATTTTATAGTCAGTAGGCTAAGTCCCTGCTTCTCTATGCTCAGTGACCAATCATATTTTAGTTTCACTACCACATATTTATGATAAAATAGTTATATCAAGGCCGTCCGTAGTCATGACGCATATATGGCTAACAAAAACTTACATCTTTATTGAAAAGATTTAACACTTGTTGATTATTGTCATAATTATCATCACCAGAATTTACATTAGAAACAACCAAACGATTGAATAATTGACGAATACGTGTTTTGAAAGTGTACAGTTGAATTAGGCAATGGAGTTGATCGATTAGAATTTTTCAATGATGATTGAAGTGTTGTTAATAGATCACATTTACTTGATATTGACAGATGTTCAAATACAGAACGAAGAAGCTGAAAATTGTTTAAAGTAAAACTTAAATAGAATAGAGAGACAAACAGATAAACAATAAATACACTATTTGTGGGGATCTCTCAAAATCGTATGAGCGTAGCACGCTTCTCGTTGTTCGAAAAAGGGAGAATGTTACCAAAAAGCAGGCTTCCATTCGAAGACAACTTTATTTTCTCCTCGAGTATCTTCGTCAGTGTGTTCTGCTAACAAGCTTAACATACAAACATTTAATCAACTGTCCAATGAAATGAAGAAGAGCTGAACAAAGCGGAAGAAAAATGGTACACCTATTGATAGCTGATGCACACTACAGGATCCATAAATACAACACGACCAAACCATCCAGCTCAGAGAACAAAACTCTACTTAAGTGGGGATCTAGACTGACCAACAAATAGATGTCTGTGATGTGATCTGTCTAGATTTATCGAATGAAACAACTCCCGTATACTTCTCATGGACACTAGTTAACTTAGGATACAAATCTTGATTTAGAAATGTTTTAGAAAAGACTGAAGAAGACCGATTTAAATAAGTAACAATATCTTTAAAAGGGAGGAAAATTGATATATTAATAAAACAATCAACCAATAGGAGAGAACATCTCTCGTCACAATGACAAATGAACGACGCTTAAGCATATGAAGAATGTAGTGGGAAAACGAATCTACATTTATCGAAGGAAAAATAGCTATTTGCACACACCTAAAAAGCTGTTGATAATTTAATTTAGTCTTTTCATACGTTCTAACAGATATTGTATGAGGACGAATATGTAAATATAAGAAAATGAAGGGAAAAGTCAAAATACAATATATTCATCAAGTGTAGACGTCCACATGGTAGAACAAGTGTCATTTTTATTGTGAAAAAAGCAAATAAAATGGCTACTTTAGAGAAGTATGTGTTAATGATGTTGACCACAAGGAAAATAAGAGTTTCATGAGTGAGCTATCCAACTTTAAAAAAAAAAACAACACTGACATTCTAATCACGAACTACAGATTTTCTCCATCATTTTTACAACAGTTACTAATAGTATTTGTTTTTGTTTTTGAGATATACTACTAAAATATGGTAATTAGACCGGAGACCGATATTATATTGTCATTAGACTTGATACACGATCGATAATTTATTGACAGACTAGATCAAATTATACCAAATACATATTTCACAACGAAAGACATTGGAAATATAATAATTTAATTAATCTTAAAAATATAAGTTTTAAGTTAAAATATGGTGATCCTGTGTAAATAAGTTAGAGGTAAAAAGGAGTTTTCTAGGTTCATTGTTTACAGAAGTACACACTAAGACTATTTGCTATTCGTTATCCAGATATATTATGTATATACATACATTAGTTAAAAAAACTTGTTTATAATACAGTAACCTACCTTAATATGTTCATTATCTGGTAGTGCAGCTTTACGAACACGATCAAGATGCAGTATAAGTGAATAACAGAATAGATGATCTTTGGCTAAGAGTTTAGCATGCGGAAGTAAACGAGACAATAAGCTATAGTAGAACAATAAACAACAGTATATCAGACGAAATAAACAAACAACATGATATGCAGTTATTTAGTAGTTTGTCATATGAAGGTAGATTTTATGTCAGATGGAATACGAATGAAAACCAGGGGGGATCAGGAAGCTTTTTCACTATAGTTTTAACCTTACCAAGAATCTCCATAAATGATCATAACCCAGATTTAACCTTGAACTTTAAGGTCAATAAACGAAACATTCAATTTCAGGCAATTTATGATACAGCGAGAACCTTACTAAAATGCTGTAAGTTACTACCTCACTTTTGACGCGGTTTCCCCACTACAGTTCAAGAAAACTCTCGAAAGCTTTGAAAACCTTATCTCCAGACCCTTGAAAATAAAGAATTTTATTTTGTCGAACGTTGTATTGTCTCTTCTAGGCAGCCCATAAATTCTGCATGTTTTAAGGATAGACTTCTGCTTCGAGTCGTAGCAATCTGTATCACCAAGTCAAGTTGCTCCACGAGGGCAAGTTACATCGATCGAACAATACGAGTTCTTTGAAAATGCATTTCGGAGAACTACTCTAACTAATTGTCAATAATAGGAATGTATGCAAATCAATCATCAAATTTATCTTGATCACATTAGCCGCCAGAATTATCCTTTATAATCATCAACATGAACAAACGAATAGGCTCAATAAAAGTGTAGGTCACAAGACGCGTGAACTACATAAGGTTTACATCAGTTCAAAAGCATTATACTCAACCTCCTGTTCTATAACGGTCTTAACCCAATTTCTAATTTTCTAATTAGATGATATCTTCATATTTTACTTTACGGGAAATTACTCCGTTATCTATGAACCACCTTCATTTTAACATAATCCTTTAAGTCAATTAGATAACCTCTAGACAACTGAAATTTCTGACCACATTTATGCAGTAATCCCTATCGATTTTTCAATAAATAACTATGATTGAAGGTAGTCGGCAAGAAATCTTTCCAGAATTATCTTTCACGCTAGTTGCGACTCTTCCAGAAGATGCGCGTGCAGTCTTGAAGAAACTATGGAATTCAAACTCATGTTATCCAGAGTATGCAATATCGAGTCACTTAGATGAGTGGCTAAACTGCAACTTGATCAGTGGAATTCGACTAATATTAAGGACTAGACAAACATAACAATGTTCATTACCCGGTGATCAATCGACCTCAGACTATAACATATCTCAAGTAACCTCGAATATAATTGTATGGTTTAGGTAAATGATATCGTCCAAAATGAAAATATAATATTAGTTAAAATCAATCAATCTATTAATGAAGGGAACTGTTGGATTACACTCATCATTTAAGCAAAAAGTGAAAATAGAATGAATAGTGAACCAAAGATATTGTTGAGTAATAAATTACATTACATCACAATTAATATTGAATTATTGAAAGTATACTCTGAACTTTTCTTTACTATCGTCTCTTCTAGGAGAAAAACAAGCATATAAAACACTCACTAATTTATAGCTTCAATATCCTTAACATCAATGGACGTAACACACCAGAATGCATAGTCTGAAAAATATTTATTTGAAAAGAAACGTTTACAGAGTAATTGAGTAAACGAGAATTTAAGATTATACATGCTTTGTAACTCTAGAACATCTTCAATAACCTCTCTGATTGACTAATTAGTAAAGTGGGTTTGAATATCAAACGAGGCATCAGTTTATAGAACTTAAAATATAATTTTTCATCATAAATTCAAACATTATGAATACTACATAAAGGTATTTCTGTGTTCTCGTTTTATTCGATATAAGATGAAAGTCACTGATCTTTTAATTTGGCGCAAAAACTCTTAAGTCATCTAAATTCAATTAGTTTGTCCCTCTCCATACCATGGCTTTATTCATTTACTTTCTCAAATTGTGAATAAAACAGGTTAGTGAGAAGATTCAAGATAGTAATCAGGAGACCAAATAATAGTACGAGTACAACACGAGTTTGGAATCATATACTTACAAAAAAACTCCGGAAATTGTCAAATGTCTGGACCAAATAGACACGCATATTCAAATAAGGATAAGGTGGATTCATCAATTACTCAATATTTGAATGCAATTTTATCATGAACAGAAACTAAATAGAAAACCATTCATTCTAGCCTCGGAGTTCTTAAAAGTAATTCCATAATACGTTACCTTTGAGCTATCCGTGCGATAACTAACCTCTTGTAAATATGAGATACTCACAAGTGACTAAACACAGGGAAGTGACTGATGTCCTGTTTGTCTAGTTTTCAGTTCTAATCGGTTCCTTCAATATTGTAGGTACGCCTTGCTGACAAGTGCCAACTGTCACGAAAACTAGGTCCCAGGTTTCCTATTAACCAATTAAAACCATCTAAAATTCTGAATTTCAAATAACGGATGATGAAAAAAAATAAGGTCTACTATTAGATCGCCAATAACGTCTTGTCATTTGCATTGGCCTAGTGGTTAAAACACTCAACTTTTCGGTACTAGTTTTGAGAGTTCAAACCCCACATTACCTACTTTGGGCTTAGGTAGACGAGTAGTGTCAACAACCTCCTCAGAAAAATGTGGCTTAAAGCTGAATACATAAACCTGAACTCTGTAAATCAATTAAACTATTATTTCATACAGCAAAATAGTATAAAATTAAGTCATTAGGTTACGCAATAATATAATATATATTATGACACACAGATCCTTTAACCAATACTACTTACCAGTAACATTCAGCTTTTGTTCCAATGTCCAAGAAATCAAATCAATATGAGGATTTTTACTATGATAAATTTTTTCAGATTTACATAGTGAAATATTTAACAATTCAGAAATTAAATGTTTCGGTGCAGTGACATGTACCAAACATGTGAATTGTTTTGGTAAATAGTTACAATTCACATTAGACTCTAACTCATAAGCTAATAAACGAGAAGCTCGAACAAGTAAATAATCTCGAACCATATTGAAACGTTCGATAATCTGTTTGTCAGCAAATGACATAATAGGTAAATCAGGATTTTGTTTCAAACAGTCAGCTAAACCTAAGCTGAAGAAAACACAAATACCAATATATGTTAGGAAAATTTGCTAATTTTTAAATATTCTGGTAATTAGTAAGTATACCAATCTAGGGACAAAAAAACTGCACGAGATAGATAGTCCCCTAGGTTGATATGATGGAACGATGGATTCAATATTCAACCGGTAGAACATAAGTTTTAATTCCTACTTCTGTTTTAATAAATGGTTAACTACTAAAAACTCTTATATGAACAATGAGTCAAAGATAAGTACATAAACCGACACTTGGTAGATGAGCTACATGATTATTACTTATTTATGTTCTGTAGTACATAGTGATCGCTCGTTTTTAGCACATCACCTAGAATTAACAGCGTTTGATTATACAACCCTGTTATTTTGGCGTTAAAATGAATTAGGGGTCTAATTACAACAGATGTAAATCTGTTGTTCACTAAAGTAAACATCTATTTGATAAATACATCAATTTGTAATCCATGATATACAGATGTTTTGATTTATCTACTCTTGCAGAGTGATAGGACGCGATGAAAAGGCAAAGTTACATTCTTTTACTCATTTTGATTTTTGGTAAACAACGATTCCACTTTTGAATTCAATATGATGATTATTCAGTGTAATATTTGTTATCCAGTGTGATATTTTATTCGTCATAACATTAATTTCTCTTAGTGCGGTGTTTATTTGATATTCTTGAATTAAATTAACGTGGACTATAGTCAACAGCAGCCTCTGCTTCAGTAGGCCTCAATATACACAAGGAAAAAACCAACATTCTCAAAACAACACGGAGGACACCAACACAGTCACACTTGATGGAGAAAATTAGGAAGAGGTGGATCGTTTCACGTACCTGGACAGCATAATCGACCGGATGCAGACGTAAAGGCAAGGATTGGCAATGCAAGGACAGCATTCCTATAGTTGAACAACATATGCAACTCAAAACAATTTTCAACCAATATAAAAGTGAGAATCTTCAATACGAACATCAAGACAGTTCTACTGTATGGAGCTGAAACTTGAAGAACTACTACAGCCATCATCAAAAATGTACAAGTATTTCGAAACATTTGTCTACCTAGTGTGGGAGAGAACAAACCAACTTCCAAATGAAGAGTAAATTAGGAAAAGACATTGGAGGTTGGTAGGACACACATTGAGGAAAACATCAAACTGCTCCACGAGACAAGCACTAACTTGGTATCGTGAAGGGAAACGAAAAAGAGGAAGACCAAAGAATGCACTGTGACGAGAATTGGAAGCAGACATCAAAAGATGAATAGCAATCGGAATCTAATGAAAAGGATTGTAGAGGACAGAGTTCGATGGAGAATGCTGATGGGTGGCCTATGTTGCTTCACGAGAGATAACAGGAGTAAGTAAAGTAAGTGGTAATCTATTCCTTCTTTTGGACCATATTTATTGTGTTTAGCTTTATACTGTATCTAGTATTGTTTCATTGCTTTTTATCTTGTTAATTTCATATAATGCAGCGGTTTAGTGTTTAAGGTGTTCAGCTTCCGTCTACAACGTTTCAAGTTAGAACCCCGCTCCACTTCGGTTTGAACAACTGGGTAGTATCATTAGCCCTTACACTTGGAGTACGATTTGAGGACAAGTATACCAATCTATGATAGTTAAGTGAGTCTATTTCCTGGTATGATTAATGTAAGGTGTAGGAATTTAGACCAACAACCATTTATTTAGGTCATACGTTGTGTATGACTGTCAACCTTGAACGTTACTAGCATTAATGTAATTTTACGGAGATTCGAAGGTGGGATTTGGTCCTGTAATGATATTTACAATAAACATTGTAATTCGATCTAAATGTTTTAGTTGAAAAATATTTTTAACCAGTTGTTTGGATACTGTACCTTCTTTAAAAAAAGCGTCTGAATGTATTCTATCACAATATTTTAAACAAGATATTACGTACCGTACAAGTCTCTTTAAGATCTCCACAATGGCTAAGCAGGTAGTATTGATAGAAACAGTTTGACTTAGCGTATTTATAGTTGAAAGACTTTTTGTATTATTAATATTCAACTGTTCAATAGATTTACGATAAATTCCAATTAAACCATGCATATTTACAGATGCATGAATACCAGTCATTTGAGAAGCGGTATCTTTAGAAAGCTTCCATACATTTTCCTTTTGGAAATTATGATCCACGTAGATACGTAAAAGATTTATGATAAATAAGTTTAAATGTTCAGGATAACTAGAGAATTGATCAATAATCAATGATGCGTTTTCAACAATTTGAGGAATCAAACGAATCCATACATTATATAATTCATAAGCTATGATTTGATAAGATTCCGAATGCCCGAAAGCGATATTCCACCATGATAAAAGAATGAGACAGGATAATGATTCCATATAATGAACTTCTAGATTTGATTGAAAGATGTGCCCAATGAATGTTTCTAAGAGTAGTATCAACGAGCTGATATTTCGATTGTCAATATAAGGTGGATGTTTCTGAAAAGAAATAATAACGATCAAGATTTTTTTAGATGTTATAGTTATAGATCAACTATGAAGTAAGATTAATTTGAAGGATAAATTACAATTTCAGTATATCAGTCATCAGCAACACTGAACCACGTACAGTATGCATCCACCCAAAATCACATACCATGTTAACACAGAGAGGTGAAATTTAAGAAATACGAACCGTAAGACATAGAGACAGATGAGGTTGGACACGCATTATACCTATTCTAGTAACTTTATTTGATGAAGGTTAACAACCTCATATGTTGTCTTTACCTAATAGCAGACGTCTCACCTCAGTATTTCTCACTCCGGTGTTTTACCATGCACCAATAATTCTTCATAAACATTTATACTCAAATAATAATAGCCTAAGAAAAGAGTGGGTAATAATGAACTGCACTCCGCTCGGTTTTATTTAATGGCTGTGAAACGTGACAGAGAATCCAGCTACGCCACAGATGAAACTAGTAGAAGCCGAACAAGCTTTTAGAATTGGTGCCGATGTATCCAGCTATCAATCCATCAACATTGATGAGACTTACAGTATGCATGAGGTGGTTAATGTTTTGAAATAATTTACTTCCCATGGCCAGTTTAATACATCTCGGTCATTAAGTAGCGTCTTGCATCTGGGTGAATAAATGCATCTCGAACATTCTTGCTTTGTGGTCGAACGAAAACAAGATTATTGCTTTAGTAAGCTATCCAGATATTAAATAACAATTTAATTATTTATTTATTTGATTTATAGAAACTCTGGTACAATAGGGGACAGAGGAATGTGCCGAATAAGTGAAGGGATAAAATTGTGAAGAAATAAAGGACGGAAGGGTCGTACAATCAGCAAATAAATATGCAAGGACAGTATTTACTGAGAGAAACAGTTCGGTTGAAAAGAAGGTCAAGAGAAAATTACTTGGTTGGAGGAATTCTCCTTACTCATATGAAGAAAGCTACAGCAGGATCGCTATTGGCTCCTATCCTAACCCATATCTCAGTCCCAAAAAGCTGTCCTACATACCACGGGATCATGCTACAAACTGTCTACCTCTCTGTTCTTTCCACTTAGTACTAGTGCCAGCAAATAACGTGCGAATTGTAAGCCTCTGGGATCATTAAAGTAGAACATGACCAATTCACCGAAATCAATATATCAAAGATGTTGATCAAGATGATGAATCAATTTTAGTTCTTCTTCGTTCACTCGAGTAGTTTGACTATGATATGGTAGTGAAGATTCATAATAGTGATGATTTAACCGGGCCAGACTAACTAGAGTTTACTGCTTCGAAGATTAAAAGGAGTAATAGAAAATGAGAGTCAAACGATGTTCCAGTCTTTGGGCAAAGCAATTTTTAGTACTAAATATTTCAGTGTACTTCGGGACAGTCCAAGACTACAAGTTTTAGATGTAATGGTCTCGTGAGGATACGGCAGAAGGTTTACATTTCCAGCTAAAAACAAATAAAACAAACACAATGTTTGGGCTTAGGTGATGTCGCCTCTCACAACTCCATTAAAAGAGGAAATTAAGATCATGTTTAAAACCAACGCACAACATTCATTTCAAAATCTTCTAATGTTAGCAGATTCCGCAGAAATTTAATTTTTTAATTACTAAATCAAATAAGTGAAAAGGGTGTACGAAATCGACATACACTTCCATATCCCGACCGTAGCTGTTACCTTGACGCGGTGGCCGGGCTTGCCTATCGTGATGACCCAACCGAGCTATATTGGCTGGAACATATGTTCCTGTAGGTTCTACCATGTCAGGCAGGTCGATTGGAGAACGGTAAGACTAAAAGCAGCAACTCAAGATCTGAGGGCGAAGTCGTACTGCTGACTGTAGAGGGGTGTGACAGCAGTAAGGTGTTCCCCTCGGACAACCAGCATCTGCAGCGATGCTGCCTTCTCACAAGGAAGGAAGGGGTTAGAAATGTTCGACCCTGAAAATATCACACCTCACCTTACCTCACGGATTTCCGTCTCCGGCGGTAAGGCCCTTTGAAGAATGAAGCTAACACGTCAAAAACCTCCCACAAAAAGGCCGTGCGTGACCGGCCTTAAGCAGTTGTCCCTTGGGCTCCGCGGTCACGCTCCCAGGTCGTTAAGATCAACACTAATCCAATTTCCTTTTCAGGTTCCTCAAGAAATACCCTTCGACGGTGTGGGCAGCCGGGAAGTGACATCAGCCCTCATACCCGTAACAGCACACGAGACCAAGTTGGTTACATTCAAATCCTTCCTACACCTCCTAATACCTCTCTTATCTCCATGACTAACCCTCTCACGTCCTTTTATTACCTCTCACCGCTAGGGCAAACGACTCGAGTCCTAGGGCAGAACTACCTCTCTTAGACTGGATCCCAGTACACAATCGTTTGTGCAAACGATTCGAGTACGCGGAACGTTATTCCTGGTCTCCTGAAACCACGCTCTAAACTACACGTAGGAGCTTTTAACGTCCGAACACTGTGCCAAATAGGACAACAGGCTTCCTTAGCTAGGACTTTAGAATCTCGCGCCATCGATGTGTGCTGCGTCTCCGAAACGCGCATACAGGATCCGAGTAGCGTCATTCATTTGACCTCACCATGCCAAAATAAAGAACCGACTCGATTCACACTTCGTGTATCTGGAAGCCCTGATTCTGCTTCCCGTGGCCTCGCCGGCGTAGGTATAGCATTGAGTCCTAGGGCAGAACTAGCTCTCTTAGAGTGGATCCCAGTAGACAGTCGTTTGTGCGCTGTCCGACTGAACGGAACAGTAAGAATCCGGAAAGATAGGGACACTCGTCGTTGCCTCTTCGTCGTCTCTGCCTATTCTCCCACTGACTGCAGCTCAGATGATGTAAAAGATGAGTTTTACAGAAAGCTTTCGGACCTTCTCCGAAAAGCTAGGCGCTCGGATGTAGTAATAGTGGCCGGTGACTTTAATGCTCAAGTAGGTAAACTAAGCGATAGGGAAAGACACCTAGGTGGATCTTATGGTGTCGTGGCTCAAAGAACAGATAATGGCGACCGTCTGTTGCAGCTATGCTCAGATAACCGCCTGTTCCTTGCAAATACTAACTTTAAGCATAAGGAAAAACATCTTTTAACATGGCGACCCCCTAATTCGTCCCAACGTTGGACCCAAATAGATCACATCGCTATCAGCCACCGATGGAGGGGCTCGATAGAAGACTGTCGCTCATTCTGGAGCACATGCCTAGATTCAGATCATGCTCTAGTGCGAGCGCGTATTTGCTTGCGTCTTACTGGACGTAGGAAAGACGCTGCAAGGAAACCTCTTAGGGCCTACTTAATGATAGTCAAGCTAAGAGTATATTTCAGGAACAACTAGGAAAACAGTTAGGCAGCCATGTATGTGATGCCCACCCCGATGCAGCATGGAATGATATCCGAAAAGCTGTGGAAACAGCAGTGATATCTGCTAGTAAGGTAAACCAGAAGGTTAGGGAGCAACACTGGATCTCAGCAGCATCTATCGCACTGATAGATGCTCGGAAACTCATTCCACCTGGCTCTGAACATAATGAAGAGCGGAGTCAGCTTAAGCGCAAGCTGACAAGAAGTCTACGCAATGATCGCGAACAGTGGTGGGTAGCGAAAGCAAGAGAGATGGAAAAGGCAGCGGCAATAGGTAATAGCAGACAATTGTTCAGACTCGTTAAGGAAACCGGAATTAGGAACCCGACCGTTAGCGAAACAATCTCAGAGAAAGATGGACATATTATTCATTCTCAATCCAGGAGATTGGATCGATGGGCAGAACACTTTAGGGATCAGTTCAACTGGCCTTCAGCCACACTTCGGTTTCCCACGATCTCCAGTCAACCTGAATGGCAAGTTAATGTAGGTCCTCCGTCCCTTTACGAAGTTGAAAAAGCCATAGGAAATCTGAAACGAGGGAGAGCAGCAGGCCCTGACAGGTTTACTCCTGAGATTTTTAAGGATGGTGGTCCAGTATTAGCAATGAGATTAACTGAGGTCTTAGGTAGAATTTGGGAACTGGACGTAATCCCATCTGACTGGTCTCAATCACTGATTGTGCCAGTTTTTAAGAAAGGACAAAAGTCCTCTTGTGACAATCACAGAGGAATCAGTTTGACTAATATAGTGTCTAAAATATTAGCTTCAATAATACTTCGACGCCTAATCAAAGCTCGTGAAGAGCAGATTAGAGAAAACCAGGCTGGTTTTCGACCTGGACGTGGTTGTATAGATCAGATATTCACACTACGTCAGGTTCTAGAACACAGACACACATTCAGACGCCCCACAATGGTAGTATTTCTCGACCTTAAGGCGGCATTCGACTCTGTTGATCGTGAGGTTCTATGGCAGTGTTTGTCACTGAAAGAAGTACATTAACCTTATAAAGGCTCTCTACTCGAACACAACTGGTCGAGTGAGAGCTTATGGCGAACTGTCATCAGAATTGATTACCTCAAGTGGTGTTCGTCAGGGCTGTCCACTCTCCCCATTCTTGTTCAACTTTGTCGACGTACTTTTAGAGATAACACTCTCCTCATCTAAATTTCCAGGGGTTGAACTTCTACCGGGAGGTTCACTTGTTGACTTAGAATATGCTGATGACATAGTTTTATTTGGTGAAGACGCTGACAAAATGCAGAGTCTTCTGACCACTCTAAGCAACAATGCAAGCATGTTCGGGATGCGATTCTCTCCCTCGAAATGCAAAATGTTGCTTCAGGATTGGGTTACATCGACACCCGAACTAGTGATAGGGAGTGAAGTAGTTGAGTGTGTCGACCGCTTCACTTATCTTGGAAGTCTCATCAGCCCTTGTGGTTGGTGTGTGACGAAATCTCAGCACGGATACAGAAGGCTCGACTAGCTTTTGCCAACTTGCGTCATTTATGGCGTAGGCGAGATATCCGTCTATCAACCAAAGGACGTGTTTACTGCGCAGCAGTTCGTTCCGTCCTACTTTATGGCAGTGAAACATGGCCGGTAAGAGTAGAGGATATTCGTAGGTTACTAGTATTTGATCATAGGTGTCTTCGAAACATTGCTCGTATATCATGGGACCATCGAGTAAGTAACACAGTTGTTAGGAAACGGGTACTAGGTAAGGATGGCAAATCAATTGATGAAGTAGTGAAACTTCATCAGTTGAGATGGCTGGGACACGTGTTACGTATGCCCAACGACCGACTGCCTCGACGTGCTATGTTCAGTGGTATAGGAGTAGGTTGGAAGAAAGCTAGGGGCGGCCAAACCAAAACATGGCACAAGTCCATGAAGTCACTGACAAGTGGACTGAGTCATGTTGGTAGGTGTAGACTACCTGGTTGGGGACCGCGAGATGATAGCAACCGATGGTTAGAGACCCTGAATGACATGGCTCAAAATCGTTTGCAATGGCGCAGGTGCATCCACTCTTTGTGTTCTCCCAAATTCTAATCTCCGGAATCCTCCTTGTCTCTTTTTTTCTCTTTCCAAATTTATTTCACTGGATTATACTCTTTAAATAACATCTTTCCGACTACTGCTTATACTCTTACCGCCTCTACCTCCACGGGATTTGAATCGACAACTGCATCTCTGTGCTAATGTGATGTGGCAACTCGAACTGATGTACGTACGTATGAAGTTTTACGTTGTTCTGACTGACTGATTGATACTTCCATATTACACCTATTGAATATTCTCCCTGTAAACTATAGTAGGCATTTTTTTAGTAAAATTAGGTTCGAAATAAAAAGCGTAATGCTTGAATTTACAGGTGAGTAGCACATTAGTAGTTATTGGACCGAGTGTAAATTGTCGAGTTTTAGAATCAAGCACTATTCCATCCACTTTGATTTTAGGAATCGATGAGTATCATTATATGCAGCATAAAACTCGATTCAAAGGCGAGTAAACAAACCCATACTTGGGTGTTGAGTTCTATTATTATGCTTTCTGAGCTAAAATTAATAGGGCTTTCAAAAGTCTCGTGAAATGACGACAAATGAGTTACACACTAATAAACCTTATTGTTCATTAATGATCTATATGGCTTTATCAGTATCTTCAGGAGTGTAAATACACATACCGTCTAATTTGCTTTAGGCAGTTAAACTGGGTTCTCGATATTCACACGAATAGTTTAACTTGGACCAGCTGAAAATTTGACAGCGATGGCTGAATCGCATCTAATTTTTCATCCATTAACATAGCAAATGACTAAAACTTATTGCGGAATTCATCAATAATTTGTTTGTGTACGATTCGCTATAATGATAAAGACGGCTCAATTAACAGTGGTAGACAATACCGATAAAAGCTATAAACACTACATCAATATGCAGGGCTTATTAAACGGCAACAACAATAAACTATAAAATAGTTATATTCGATACATATGTCATAACTTACCGTAAACCAAACATAACAACATTTCTCCTGACTAAAATATTGAAATAAGCAGCATTTATCCATTACAACAGGTCCAACAGAGATAATATCAGAATCGACTGGTGTTACATTGAAAAGATTCCACAAATAAAAGAAACAATCCAGATTGGTTATCTCATCGTTATGTATGATTGACAGAGTTCTTGTTTTATTGTCACATTTTAAAGGGAATATTTGTTGAGATTCATTTTGATTCTAAATATATAAAGATTTATTCAAATATAGAGGAGAAAACATACTTTTCCTTCGTCTTGTTCATATAATTTATTTAATGAGTTAGCAAAAGCTTGTTCTACCTGTACGAATACCATTTTCTTTGGGGTGCTGTAGTGACAGAAAAAAACAATGAATAGATGTAATATGTTATATATAAATTACTACGGAAAACAAGTTCAAATTAGATGGGCGCTAACTAACAGTTTGCTTAAGTCGAAATCCATAGATTACTATTTGAGGTTAAATCCTATATATTTTAGAAGGTAGGTCTCGTGTATTTAATACACTAATAAATTAGATTAATAATATGTTTGCGATAGTAATTGTAAAGTATCCAGTACAAGATGACTGCGCTTTCCCAAGAAAACTGTCCCAAAATATTTGGAAAACGAAACGGCGTGATGGAATTCCTTCAGTGCAGTTATATGAGAGCTCAGACACACTAGCTTAATAGGATACTGACGAAGATAAATGTTCACAAAACCGTTTCAGCGAATTCTACTCTGAGGATATTATTATTAAACACTTACATAGCCACAGCGTTGAAAAATCGAATTTTGTACCAGCGATTGTAACTCAGGAAGCTGCTTTCCAATTGTTTAGTAGCTTTAGGCTTTGAAAGCTACGTTTTATACATAGATTTAAGCAAAGCACTTAATAAGGTGCCTTACTTAGGACTTTGTGTAGGAGCTTTCGATGTTGGGGATAACAGGCACAATAAAATACTAGATGAGAAACTTCCTTTGTGATAGTAGACAGAAAGTGAGAGTACATGGCAAATCATGTGTATGGAAATGTAAACTGCGGTATCCCGCAAGGCACCACCTTAGACTCTCCGCGCTACAAAGACTGCCTAAACTGTCAACAATCTTGTTTGCAAATGATATAAAAGTTTGGAAAATAAGTAATGAGGTTGATAGTCATGATATCCAAGCTGATTTGGACGAATTGGTCAAATGGTCGCAAAGTTTGGGTCTGAAGTTCAATTCCAGTAAGATTGAGCTAACGCACATCAGATACGGTAAAAGTCATCAGTGCACGTTCAGTGGGACACCACTACCACAAGCACAGGAATAAGGAGATCGTATGAGTAATTGTGATTTATGACTTGAAAACTGCGTACATTGTAATGTGGTAGCTGTTAAAGGTTTTCGATTGTTATAGTCACTTCACAAAGCCTTCAGGTGCCTTGATAAATATATGTTTTGGACTTTATATCTCACCTATGTGAAATCTCACCCAGAACACAGCATTCGGCTATCGGGTGTAGTACATTTATGGTCGGTGTCATCTATCGCAGTCAAATCTACTTAGCTGATGACCTTATTTTAGAGCACATTCATTTTTGGAGTGCAAATACCAGATGCTTGGTAATAGGAGACTTTAATGCACCTGACATTAGTTGGACTGAGATGACCACGGAAGGATCTATAAACTCCTTTGATAGTAGGTTCCTAGTAACAATAATGGAGCATGCATTAGTGCAGCATGTATCCAAACCCACACGTTTTGGTGCTAACCAAGGTTCTTCTCTGTTGGACTTGGTAATCACTCATGAGACTGAGGATATTGTCGACCTAAATATTCTTCCACCGTTAGTGAATAGCGATCACGCTGTTTTGTCATCCGCGTTTATAACTATGGACATGTTATACGACCAGGTTACACCTCGCCCAAATGTATGGAAAGCTAACATATCAGCCATTCAGGAATGCGCTGCTAAGACAGATTGGTTTGTAGATACTAGCTTATCAGTTGAAGAAGCATGGTCTGAATTTAAAGGTAAGTTTAGTCTAGTTACGTCCCCATTCATACCATACCTGGTGCCACGAAGACCGACTAACAGTCCACCATGGGTAACTAAACCGGTCAGGAAACTTCTTAGGAAAAGGAAGAAGCACTGGAATATGTTCGTCTCTGCTGGCTTAGAACAATACAGATCCAGTTATTGTAAGATTAGGAATACCTGTAAAGCGTTAATAATTAAGACTAGACTATCATGCGAAAAACAATTGGTTAGGGATTCTAGATATAGTCCGAAACGGTTATTCTCGTATATAAAAAGGCGAACTCAGAGAAGCGATGGAATTCCATCACTTTTGATACAAGAAAATCCGTTAATCTTGGCCGAAAATGATGCCGAAAAGGCTGAAGCTTTATCGGAGTATTTTAGTAAAGTATTTTCTATCGGTAATGAGGAACGATTAACGATTCATCGCGACCGTGACGGCTCGCTGATGGATCCTGTAGTCATTGAGAAAGGTACTGTTTTAAGGCTACTTCAGCATCTCAAACCTGATAAGTCCAGTGCTCCTGATGATATTCATCCTAGGATTATGAAAGCCATATCAGATGAAATTGCTGAACCATTAACGATACTATTTGACATGTCTCTGAGGCAGTCCAGACTGCCCAGAGATTGGAAAAACGCTAAGTCCGGTGTATAAGGCTGGGAGTAGGGATTTAGTTAGTAACTATAGTCCCGTTAGCTTAACTAGTGCAGTTGTAAAACTGATGGAAAAAATCATTCGAATATCTGTTATAAACTATGTTGAAGGGCATAATCTTTTCTCCAGGGAACAACATGGTTTTCGGAGAGGCCTATCATGCTTGACAAATCTCATTGCAAGAGAAGATTGGGCTGCCGCAAAAGATCAGAATATTCCTGGGGATGTGATCTTCATAGATCTAAGTAAGGCCTTCCATAAGGTCTCCTACTCTGGTCTTAAATTCAGACTGGAACGTTTTGGAATCCATTATACAGTCGTAGGTTGGATTAGTAACTTTTCCATAACAGGAGACAAAGGGTAAGGGTTAATGGGCTCTCTCCTCGTGGGTACCTGTATAAAGCGGAGTTCCCCAAGGTACAATCCTTGGTCCTCTTCTCTTATTACTTTATGTACATAAATTACCAACTGTAGCAAAATCATCCGTTCTACTTTTCGCTGATGACATAAGGATCTGGAGACACATACACAGTATGTCGAATAGGATAGTATTACAGGATGATCTTAGCTCATTTGCGGCATGGTTGGACAGATGGTCACTAGAACTAAATCCTAATAAGAGTGTGGTGAGAAATTAAACGACTATGATGAAATGTATCACTATACAATATATGGATTTGTGCTACCAAAGTAAAAAACTATAAAGATTTGGGAGTCATATTAAGCAGTGATCTCAAAACCACTAGTCACTGTAAGGCTGCTGCTGCGAAAGGCTATAGGGTATTATGGCCTATTCGTAGGTCTTTGCAGTATTTAGATGATGAAAGGTGTTGATTATTATACCCGGTTGATCAAGCAGCTAGTCTGAGTTATACTGAGGATGCTGAGCAAGAACGATTGGATTAATAAGTGTGTGTGTAAAAGTGCGAGACTTTTGATAATTTGACGGAATAGGGTTTATTCAAAATAAAACCTGAGAATTTGTTATTTTGCTATATAGTAAATATACCTAACAAATTTGCTAGACGACTAAACCAGTAATATCCTTTAAAACAAATCGGTTAGAGACTCTGTATGTAGATAGGATTTTCAGGCGCCTCAACAAAAATATCAGAGAATACAACTAAATGCATACTCTTCGGTACTACTGTCAAGGTCACTCACAGCAGATTTGATTTGACGCAAAAACACTTGCCTTCAGATTTAGATTTCAAATTTGTATATTGAGGACAAAAAGCATACAGCCTGTGCTATTCGTTTCACAGTAAGCTTTTGACAATGTCCAGTCTTCTCTTGAATGTGTCAAACTGAAAGCGCGCTATTAAAAAGGAAAGTGGTATTTTTCCTCGCTGAGTAGATTTCTTTGTTTTGATCGTTTATTACATACCAAGACTACTGTTTTCGCTTGAATTGAATTTACTTCAGTTAAAGTATTCGACTAGAGTATCGTTTTTACTGTTCTCTCAATTAGTTTTGTCGTTGGTACTCCTGAGTACCTCTTTTTCAACTGTATCTGTTAGTACTTTTGGTTCTAGCAATCTACAGCTCTTCACTTTTTCGGTCACTGATTATTTTTTTGTTTTTGAGTATCATCGCATCTTGAAAAAGAACCCCTCCTAAATGACCGGACAGTGTAAAAAAAGCAGTTGCCAACGTCCGTTTTGTCGTTATCCTGTTGAAAGCGGCATGCAGTGCGACGAGTGCAAAGGCTGGTACCACGAAGTTTGCACGAACTTAACGCCTGCTGCTTTCAAACGGTTCAGTAAGAAGGGTTGTGTATGGCTTTGTCAACAGTGCTGCTCGGATGCAAACAGCTTGTTAACCGAGGCCATCTCACTGGTTGATGCTGCAAAGAAGTGTTTTAGCAAGCATAGTCGGAACGCGTCAAACAGCACTCGATCTGTTGACACGCAAATCAACGTGAAGGAAACTAAGGTTAGTCCGATGATAGATGACTCACGCCCGTCAAAGAAGGAAAAGCAGTCTCCAAAGGGGCCTGCCTTAAACAAAAGCTCAAGAAAAGTAGGGTCTTCTGTTCCCCGTCTTCCAGATGGGATCCAACAGGAAACGCCTAGAAGCCGCAATCGCAAGGCTCGATCGGTTTCAAGCGGTAAACATAACACGACCTCTCAGGTCGTCGACAACCCCCCAAAATCCAACACTAGGTTTGACGCAACTGTTATTGCTTCTACCAGCACCGTTGACGAATGGGTACAGGTTGTAAGGAAGAAAAGTAGGGATATAAAAGGGAACCCTGCCCCCGTAAAAGTAGTTGAAAAATCGAAAGCTGATCATGGCGACAGATCAGCTATTTTTCATAGAATCAAGGAGAGCGAGAGCTCTGAACCTAAAGCTCGTTTTGAGCATGACATTGTACTGATTAGGCAGCTGCTTAATCAACTCATGCCTCAAAATATGACCGGGGTCACCTTGCTAAAGGTGTACAGACTAGGGAGTCTAACGGACTCGAAACCAAATCATTCCAGACTGCTTAAAGTAGTATTCGGCTCTTCGAACGAACGTGACCTAATTTTACAAAATGGACACAAATTAAAGGGTTCAGGAGTCTTTATCCGAAAGGACCTACCGTTGGCAGACCGTGTTAAAAGACGGGAAGCCGAGAAAGAACTACAACATAGGTTAGACGC